TCACCAAGGCCGTATAAACTTGAATAGCTCGATCCCCTCTAAACAAGCACACTTCCCTCTTGATTACTCACAGTCCCAAATAAACAAATATAATGAAATGCAATGGAATAATCGAGAGTGACTAAAAAGCACAATACACAAATTAAATATGTACACATGCAAGTATGTAAAGCACAGATACAGCCCTACCGACAATGAAACATGATTGCCAATACCAACAAAGGTTACACATTTAAGGTACAAGTGATTGAATTCAGTAAGTACATAAGTAAAGGGTTACAATCTGCATTCAAGTTACACACATTTATAGATTAATTGAATAAAGCAAATACCTCACCTGATATAAAAAAGCAAAAGCACACAGCAATGATTAAGGTATAACAAAATATTTCAAGACAAGCCGTACTTTACACTTCAGCCGGTTACAAGACAAAGACCATGAACACACATGTTAAATCCTATTTATTTGACCAACTCAAGCCGCGCGGTAATTTGATCTGCTAATACCCCTAAACCACCCCAAAATCGCCCATTCCCTGCATTTCCCGCATTTCTAAAAAAAAGTGGACTGGTGTTGAAATTGTAAACACATGTCCTCTTCCAAGAAATTCCATCCGTCTCATCTTCGCTCTCTTTCCCTTTTCTGTAATCCCACCAGATTTCTGTTGGCAGCTTGTGTAACCTACATGATGTATAGGGTGCTTCGTATCGACAATCATATTCACAGGAAGTTGTTAAGGTTGGGGCATCTCAATCTGGCAACTAGGTTTTGCAAATTGACAGGAAATTATCATTTTGTATAAAATGGACATAACCTAATGAGTGACAGCACATATAAACAGTGAATTTCATCACCCTAACATGGCCTACTACTTGGACAACTATTGAACGGAGTATACTTCTCTTTTATATATGAGGTATACAAAACAAATGCACCAATGCACGTAGATAAAGCCTGGCTGTAGCTCAAGTACCGTAAAGGTGGGTTGATAGCTGGTTGAAGTTCGGCATTTACGTTTCCGTTGGCCCGTTTTTAACAAGAGTGAGGTTATGTTTGTTACAAATAGTGTGCCAGTGATAATGAGATAACAAAGTATTTTCACTTTCATACGTATCTACGTACTGAAAATCACGGTGGGTACCTACAGTACAAAAAAAATTTAGGTTATCGTTATAGTTTGTACGTACGATGTGGTGGGTATCGCTATAAACCTTAACAAAGTGCACTCTCTGTTTGACCGATGCAGAGAGAGCTATGGGATTTTGTAATGAGTCACAATGAGCACATTTACAATTTTTAGAAACTTTATGTTTTAGAAGGTGTTGTTGAGTAGCGTTTGATATTTGTCGGGTAATTACAATTGGTACATTTAAAATGTTTAAAATCCATTAATCTATTAAAAGGTGTTGTTTAAAGATGTATTTGTTATTCGTCTCCTAATTACAATTGGATCATTTAAAATCGATATGTTTCAAAAGGTGCCGTTTCAGATATCGCTTATTTTTTGTTACATAATCACAATGAGAACATTTAAAATCTTTAGAATCGGTATGCCTTAGAAGGTGTTGTCTTAAGTTGTCTTTGTTATTGGTCTTGTAATCACAATTCGTACACTTAAAATATTTAGAAACTACATGTTTTAAAAGGTGTCGTTTGAGATATCGTTTATTATTTGTTCCATAATCACAATGAGCACATTTAAAATCTTTAGAATCGAAATGCCTTAAAAGGTGTTCTTTAAAGTTGTATTTGTTATTTGTCTTGTGATCACAATATGCACATTTGAAATTTTTAGAATCGGTATGATTTAAAAGATGTCGTTTTAAGTGGTATTTATTATGTGTATTGTAATCACAATTAGTACATTGTAGCACATGTCTGTTTGTCAAAATGTGTTGTCGAAACAGTTGTTTATTTTTTGTTCCATAATCACAATGATCACAGTTAAATATTTCTGAAACCCCTTCATTATCAAGCGATTTGGAGCATTGTGCAGTAATGGTAATTTCGTCCTTTACTGTAACCAATGCTTCGTTCTTTATTAAAATATTTCCTTGCAGATCAGAATGAATTTCTTCTTCTTGTTTTGGCTCGATTTTAATGAATGGTGGGAAATCATTTCCGTCCATATCTACCTTATCTAGCATCAATAACGTTATCAATTTCGTTTGTTTATCATAAATAAAATTTGATAATAAACAATACACATTTGTAGTCACTAGTCACACTCTGACTGTAGCTCACGTACCGGTAAGGGTCAATTTTCTGTTTCAAAAACGTTTCACTTCCAGTGGCGGAGCCTTGGGTTTTTTTTTATACTGTTCACTCAATTAGATTAATAAGTAAAGGCGAATTCGCATGCATCCGATATGCGCTATAGTTTTTAGATGAGCTTGCTTCTACACTAACATATTTTTGGTAGTCCTGTAAATATCTACATTGGTAACGTAGAAATTTCATATGCAAACATGCTGTAACAAGTGTAAAATTCCTCCGTTAGATGCCGGCTGCGGTCGTCCCCATCTTTTGAATTAAGTTCTTGGTCTCGTTCATGCGCCTGGATGTTTCTCCATATACCAATAGTTTATTCTTTAATATATAAAAGGAACCACAAATGTTTATTGTTTCTATAAAGCAATCGAACAAAAACATTTGTGGTTCCTTTTATATATTAAAGAATCTCAACGAACCCCAAAAAATGGAGAATTACATTACATATAAAGTAGTTTATTATATTTCTTTATCTAAAATATTTTAAATCGACATGCGTTTCCGCCACTAAGCAAATGTCTACTTACTTCTAATTCTAATTAACTTCTAACAGGTATAAGTTGGAGAATCTTAATTAATTAATAACAGATTACTTTTATGTTATGTCTTGCTCTGAGATAATCATTACTACATGCACAGACATTATTATTAACGTAAGTTTTGAAAGGTGTTCATTAAAGCGGTATTTATCATTTGTCTTGTAATCACAATTAGCACATTTAAAATCTTTAGAGCCAATATGATTTAAACAGTGTCGGTTAAAGTTGGTTTTGTTATTTGTCTCATAATCGCAATGTCCGCATTTAAAATCTTTCGAGTCAGTATGATTTAAAAGGTGTTTTTTAAGGTTCGATCTGTAATTTGTCTCGTAATCACAATTAGTACATTTAAAATCTTTAGAATTGCTATGTATTAAAAGGTGTCGTTTAAGATATCCTTCATTATTTGTTCCATAATCACAATTAGCACATTTAAAATCTTTAGGGCCAGTATGTTTTAAACGGTGTCGGTTAAAGTTGGTTTTGAAATGTGTTTCATAATCGCAATGTCCACATTTAAAATTTTTCGAGTCAGTATGATTTAAAAGGTGTTTTTTAAGATTCGATTTGTAATTTGTCTCGTAATCACAATTAGTACATTTAAAATCTTTAGAATCGCTATGTATTAAAAAGTTTCGTTTAAGATATCCTTCATTATTTGTTCCATAATCACAATGAACACATTTAAAAACTTTAGAATCGACATGTCTTAAAAGGTGCCTTTTAAGATATCGTTTATTCCATGTGACATAATCACAATGAGCACAGTGAAAGACATTTTGCTTTAAAGGATGTAGTTTAACTTGAAGCTTACTATTTGTTTTGTGTTGTTCGAAGTCACATTTGAAATCATTGGAAATATGACTTTTAATATTCCATCCACAATCACTTTGTTTTTGTACTTCATTATCGAGCGATTTGGAACACTGTGCAGAAATGGCAATTTCTTCGTCCTTTATTGTAACCAATGCTTCGTTGCTTACTAAAATGTTTTCTTGAAGATTGGAATGGATTTCTTCTTCTTGTTTTGGTTCGATTTTAATGAGTGGTAGGACATCATGTTCATCCATATCTAGCATCAATAACGTTATCAATTACATTGTTGTTTATCAATAATAAAAACAAACTTTGGTATTTCTTACCAGCAACAGTCCTATCTATAGCTCATGATAACTATAAACCTAAATGATCACTGGCCGTAGCTCAAGTACCGGTAAGGGTTAACAAAATAACAACTTTCAGGTTCATACACGGACCTCTTAAATGAATGGAGTGCCAATCATCCTATGATGGATCATGAAAATGTCCTGCATATGTTAGCCGCCATTGCACAGTATAGGGATCAGGCAATCCTATATTATATAGCATCCTTGCCTTGTCCCTATTACTTCTACTTCCGCACTGAGCAACAGCACAAAAGTTGGGCATTGTTTTGGGTGTATAGAAATTAATTTAAGTACTTACTCTTATTTTAATAATTGAAAGTTTATACCGTATAAACAACAGCGGTGTATCCACAGGCTTACTAACAGCTGATTTATGGTCACGTGCTGCACGCGTTCTATAGTAAACATGTGCACCAAATGCAACAATTCAACAACCTTAAGGTCGATTTTGGCAATGGAACCATACAACAGTTTAAACTACAGAGAGAGACTTATAAACTTGAGATGGCCATACCTTTATGACAAAGGCTGGATACTTAACATCAAAAACAAAATCTACGAACGCAACCAAACTAACCAATAACTACTATTTACCAAGTACTGTTAAGAGTATTGTATTATATTTCAGGAAACCCAGTGGTAGCTTGTTTATTAACGTCAACCCCTTTAGCTTCTACGAACACGAGTCGAGGGTTTCTCTGGCAGAGGTCTTCCCTCGCACAGGCCTACTCGTTAGGGACTTCTGCATTTCCAAATTATTAGGGAATCCGTTTGGGTAGCAATAAATACTTTAGGCCGCATTTGACTGTTTCTTTTCCTTCCCGATAGCAACTCCCATTCCGAGTGTAACGGTTACAACTTGACGGTGAGTAAAATGTAGGGTCTCTGTCCTAGGCGATCCGATCACGAGCCACTTGTTCCGGCAGAGGAGAAGGCTGGACATGGTTGCCATATCCTGTTAGTATTTTCCCGCCGTATTTGAATTTAGTGTTCGGGAGTGAAGTTAGTTGGCCCCTTAAGATCATTACACACCACATAAATAGAGGTTAGGGTACTGAACAAGTGGAAAACGTAAATCGTATAAAATTCGATCTCAGCTCGACAGAGGGCAGCAAATTTGCCTTCTATGTTCTATCAAGAGCTATAAATAGACTGTTGCTGGTAAGGTATTTGTATTGTTTAAAATATCTAAAGTTTGTCTTTATTTTTGATAAACAAAAACGTAATTGGAACATTTTTCTTGATAATATTGTTGATGCTAGACATGGAGGGAAATGATGTCATGGCACTCATTAAAATCGAACCAAAACAAGAAGAAGAACTCCATTCCAATTTTCAAGAAAACATTTTAGTAAGTAACGAAGCATTGGTTACAATAAAGGAAGAAGAAATTACGATTACCGCACAGTGCTTCAAATCGCTCGATCATGAAGGGGTACAACAACAAACTGATTGTGAAGAAAATATTAAAACTCAAATTTCCAACGACTTCAAATGTGACTTCGGACAACACACAACACATAGTAAGCGGCAAATTAAACAACGTCGTTTAAAGCAAAATGTTTCAGAAGGGTTTAACTGTGCTCATTGTAATTATAGCGCAAAGAATAAACGATCTCTTAAACAACACCTTTTAAAACATATTGATTCTAAACTTTTTAAATGCGCTCATTGCGATTATGGAACACACAATGAAGGATATCTTAAACGACACCTTTTAATACATACCGATTCTAAAGATTTTAAATGTGTCAATTGTGATTACGAGACAAGTAACAAATACCACTTTAAACAACACTTTTTAACACATAAAGTTTCTAAAGATTTTAAATGCGCTAATTGTGATTACGAGACAAAGTACAGATCCAGCCTTAAAAGACACCTTTTAAATCATGCAAACTCTAAAGTTTTAAAATGTGCCCATTGTAATTATGAAACAATTTACAAAACCAAATTTAACCGACACCGTTTAAATCATACTGGCTCTAGAGATTTTAAATGTGCTAATTGTGATTACAAGACAAATAAAAAATATTGCTTTAAACAACACCTTTTAGTACATAAAGTTGCTAAAGATCTTAAATGTGCTAATTGCGATTACGAGACCAATAACAAATACTGCTTTAAACAACACATTTTAACACATAAAGTTTCTAAAGATCTTAAATGTGCTAATTGTGATTACAAAACAAACAACAAGAAGAACATTAAACGACACCTTTTAACCCATAAAGTTTCTAAAGATTTTAAATGTGCTCATTGTGATTACGAGACAAGTTACAAACACTCCCTTAAGCAACACGTTTTAAAACATACCAATTCAACACGTTTTAAATGTGCCCATTGTAATTACAAGACAAGTAACAAGTGCTACTTTAAACACGTTTTAAATCATTCCGATTCTAAAGACTTTAAATGTGCTCATTGTGATTATGAGACAAGTCACAAATACTACTTCAAGCAACACGTTTTAAATCATACCAATCCAAACAATTTTAAATGTGCTCATTGTGATTACAAAACAAGTAACAAGTACTACTTTAAACTACATGTTTTAAATCATACCAACTCTACAGTTTTTAAATGTCCTAATTGTAATTACGATACTAATAACAAACGCTACTTTAATCGACACTTTTTAAAACATATCGATTCTAAAAATTTTAAATGTGCTATTTGTGATTATAAGACAACTAGCAATTTCCACTTTAAACGACACGTATTAAAACATACCGATTCTAAACACATTTTAAATCATGTCCATTCTAAAGATTTTAAATGTGCTAAATGTAAATTCGAGACAAATTACAAAAGGAACCTTCATCGACACTTTTTAACACATAGCTAAAGATGTTAATTGTGATTACAAGACAAAAGATAAAAACCGCTTTAAAGAACACATAAGTTTTGAAATATTTTAAATGTGTTCATTGCGATTATAAGTCAAACCTTTTAAGGCACACAAACCGTTTTTACAAGGAACAAATTTCTCATGAACTTAAATATTGTTTCTTAATCGTGTGGCTTCATGAGGTGTTCTAACATATGTTAATAATAATGTTTGTGGATGTGGAATATTTATTAAGTGTTGATTATCTCCGAGCAATACATAACATAAAAGTACCTAATGTTGAATGTGATGTAATGATGTGAATGTTGAATAATTATTTGCCATTATCTGAAATCACAATAAATTATTAATAGGGTTAAGTGGTAGAACAGATTGTAGTTTGCTACACATCTGAACTTCGCCCTTTTGGAATAACGTAATAAATTTAGTTTAATATTCCCTAGAATTATGCATTGTTTCTTTTGTACGTTATCCAATAAATGACTATTATTATTATTATCTATTATAAATTATTAAGATTTTTAAATTTTCTCCTATTTTTCCCTGTTAGAAGTTAGAAGTAGACATTTGCTTAGTTGCGAACACGCATGTCCATTTAAAGGTAAATTAATTTTTTCATTTACGCATAATTATATATTGACAGTTTGTAACGATTTATTTTTTCCATTGTTGACTGTTTATTTCTGGTTGAAAAATCCTGGTAACTTTTGAAGCGGTTCTATAAATGGCTCCACCTATTGTTGGAATTTATCAATACAATTGCTTGACGCAAAAATTTTCTTGCCTTGATCCGTGCGTGTCTATGTACATCTCCTTATCTTTCGTAAGCCGTATCGAGATACACTTCGTTTACGATAAACAGCTGAAAGAGTGAGTTAGAACGCCTGGAATTTTAATTGCCATCATCCATGTATGTGGACGAAATGTACCTATACTCTAGTGAGGATTTACATTGTGCTCTTTTCTATTTATCGTAAGTACCTGGCGGTAAATGTGCATTTCGTTTATTTAGAGAACCCTTTTGTTAACCCTCTAGGTTCGGCTGTCATTTGTTGTACTACAATTTCCGTCGACAATTTCTACTACATCTACAGTTAGCCCTTTATTTAAGAGGTATGTAATTTGGTTCGTGTCATCAGCGAAGGGGGGGTTACCTTTGATTTCTTTTAGGGTTTTAGTTCGAGTTCAAATTCAACGTTAAGAGTCAGCGGAGTTTGGAATACGTTGTTACTGTACCTACGATTCCTGTTCGACGTACGAGTTTGTAACCTTGGGTTAAATGTTCATCAACGCCCTCCGGGATATTTCGATAATTCTATCAAAAAAAGGAAATTCTGCTAGATTGCATATTTTATTCGGTGTTAACTTCAAATGACAGCGAATGTAACATATCATAACAGTTAAACGCGTTTCTTTCATGATGTTATGATTTTCCGAAAGAATGTGCTGGTTATTACTGGTTTACATCGCCAAAAACAGCTCGCAAAATTGATAGCAAAAATTAATAAACAAATGGTGACGGTGGCTAATGTCCCTAGATTCTCCTAATGTTTGCGTTCGACGATAAAGTATACAGGGCAGTTGAAGGGATTGGGACCGCTCAGTGTTCTATCCCAAGTATTATCTGTGGAATGTGCCGGCAGTATGGTATGGTATCTGTTATTATTAGTTAATTGATCGTGTCGAGGTTTGTATTCTGTTTGCGCAAATCGTGTACATTCCATGTTTTGAGTGTTGGATTGTTTCTGATGTTTTTGAACAGAGTCGATAAGACTCATGTGACATCAGCGTGAGATTCAAATTTCAAACGACTAGTACCATTGGCGTATATAGAGACACCGTTCAAACGGCAAGTACCGTTGGCATATATAAAGACACCGTTCGAAAGTATTCGCATGGGGTTTACTGTTTAAACCAATGTATTAATTTCGATGTCAGCAATTCAAACAATGTTAGTCTGTATAGGAAAGAAATGGTGTGTACAATTAACTTTGCTAAGTTTCATTTTGTGTTTTTGAGGTCACTTTGTATGTGTATGTACAGATTGGCCAGTGATTAATTTTCATTTGGATTGATTAGCGACTTCAATTCTTTGTGTACGAATCTGCCTTTTTTGTGTAATTAACCTTTTCACTCTTGCAGAGGTATATGCGGAAGTGATATAGATACTTAGCGGAATTTATCTCGAACTACAACTTTAGCCTAAGGTTACCGTATCCGGGACCTTCAGATACATTCCGGATTGGGGGAGGTCCGGCTAATTAACAATGCATTTTATAGTACTTATTTTCAGGAAATAACAAGCAATAAAAACGTGAAATGTGTAAAATTCATTTATTTTGTATTTGACTTAGTTTACTAAAATTAATTTATAAGCAGACTATCCATATTTGATTTTGTGGGTATTTTTGTAAAGAGAATATTGTGGCCTTTAAGGTGCCATTCTATGGGTGTGCATATTATAACTATAAACCGAGGGTTACTAGCGGTGTTTTTTGCAACGTTATGTTAGATCTCATGAAATAAGACTCCTATATCTATAAACAAAAAGATGCTGACACTCTTTATGTCCTGCTCTCAAATAATTGATACTTAAATGTTTCCACATTCACAAACGTTTAGCCAATATTTTAAATGTTAATAACGCAAGTTGGGACGCATACACCTTCCTCGCATGAAGTCACACACTAAAAATGAAGACATAATCGCAATGATCACATTTAAAATTTTAAGAAAGTTAGTTTTAAAACAGAGTTTGTCACTTTTCTCGTAATCACAATTAACAGTTTTAGACACTTTTATGTGTTAAAAGGTGTCTTTTAAAGTGATATTTGTTATTTGTCTCGTAATCACAATTAACACATTTAAAATCTTTACAATTGGTATGTTTTAAAAGGTGTCGTTTAAAGCAGTATTTATCATTTGTCTCGTAATCACAATTGGTACATTTAAAATGTTTAGAATCAACATGCTTTAAAAGGTGTCGTTTAAGACATTGTTTTTGATTTGTTCTATAATCACATTGAGCACATTTGAAACCTTTAGAATTAGTGTGTTTTAAAAGGTGTAGGTTTAAGTGGTATTTGTTATTTGTCTTGTACTCACAATTAGTACATTTAAAGGCTTTAGAATCCATGTGTTTTAAAAGGTGTCGTTTAAGACATTGTTTATGATTTGTTCTATAATCGCACTGGACACATTTGAAATCCTTAGAATCAATATGTTTTAAAAGGTGTCGTTTAAGGCAGTATTTATCATGAGTCTTGTAATCACAATTAGCACATTTAAAGTCTTTAGAATCGATATGTTTTAAAATGTGTCGTTTAAGAGATTGCTCATGATTTGTTCCATAATCACAATGAGGACATTTGAAAACTTTAGAATCGGCATGATTTTTAACGTGTTGTTCAAAGTACCGTTTGTTATTTGTCTCGTAATCACAATGAGCACATTTAAAATCCTTGGCATCGGCATGATTTAAAACGTGTTGTTTAAAGTAGCGTTTGTTGTTTGTCTCGTAATCACAATTGGCACATTTAAAATCTTTAGAAACTTTATGTGTTAAAAGGTGTTCTTTAAAGTGGTATTTATCATTTGTCTTGTAATCACAATTAACACATTTAAAATCTTTAGAATCGGTATGTTTTAAAAGGTGTCGTTTAAAGCAATATTTATCATTTGTCTCGTAATCACAATCAGCACATTTAAAATGTTTGGCATCAATATGTTTTAAAAGGTGTCGTTCAAGACATTGTTTAAGATTTGTTCGATAATCACATTGAGCACATTTCAAATCTTTAGAATCGGTATGTTTTATAACGTGTAGGTTTAAGCGATATTTCTCATTTGTCTTGTAATCACAACTGGTACATTTAAAAGCTTTAGAATCAACATGTTTTAAAAGGTGTCGTTTAAGAGATTGTTTATGATTTGTTCTATATTCACATTGAGCACATTTCAAATCTTTAGAATCGGAATGTTTTAAAAGGTGTAGGTTTAACCGGTATTTCTCATTTGTCTTGTAATCACAATTAGTACAATTAAAAGCTTTAAAATCTATATGTTTTAAAAGGTGCCGTTTAAAATATTGTTCATTATTTGTTCCATAATCACAATTAGCACATTTCAAAACTTTAGAATCGATATGTCTTAAAAGGTGTCGTTTTAAGCAGTATTTGTTATTAGTCTTGTAATCACAATTAGCACAATTCAAATCCTTATGTTTCAAAAGGTGACGTTTAAAGTAGGATTTACTATTTGTCTTGTAATCACATTGCGCACAATTAAGGTCTTCTGAAACATTTTGCTGTAAAAGATGTTTAACTTGCAGCTTACTATTTGTTGAGTGTTGACCGAAGTCGCAGTCAGAATCGTCGGAAATTTGAGTTTTAATATTCCATCCACAATCACTTTGTTGACGTACTTCTTCATTATCGCCGAGAAATTTGGAGCACTGTGCAATAGTTGTATTTTCGTCCTTTATTGTAACCAATGCTTCGTTCTTTACTAAAAGGTTTCCTTGAAGATCGTAATCGATTGCTTCTTCTTGTTTTGGTTCAATTTTAACGAGTGGTACGACCTCTTTTCTGTCCATATCTAGTTTCAATAACGTTATCATTAACAATTACGTTTTTGTTTATAAAAAATAGATTTGGTATTAATTACACAATACAAATTTCGTTTCACTGTCAGCTGGTTCGGAGCTGACTGGGCATGGGCACTGTTTTTATACGAGCTGACGCTGACCGGCTGACGTACAAAAAGCTCTGGCTGTAGCTCAAGTACCGGTAAGAGGCAGCTTCAGGTTGATTACTTACATATCATTTACAGTGGCAATGATGGCTTTTATTTTATAGTGAAACGCATACAATTCTTCAAAATAAATAGAATTTTATTAACGTTACATTTTTACTTATTCTAATTTTATTTGAGTCCTCACTAGATGGCGCTGGTAGGATAACTTGCCTTCAAAATAGAAACTCAACTCTGTTTATTACAAATTTAGGAAATTCTGCTTGCATGGCGCCCTCTTGGGTTTATTCTGTAATTGGAAGACGTCACATATGCTGGCGTGGCGTCGGCACGTAAAAACATCGGTAAGGTACGACGCAAGTACGACCCATTTTGCATCAAGGCAAACTAAACATGACAGATTTGAAGACAGAGTGGCATCTTTAAAATCTCGAAATCAAAACAGTTCCCGCTTAAATTTAAAAACAAAAGAATAGCACGATTGGATTAATTTATTCATTCTTAATTTTAGACATGAATTTCCACAACTAAGCAAATGCCTATTTCTAATTCGAGTCCTCTAACAGCTAAAAGTTGGAGAAGAAAAATATAATCTTGAAGCAAGAGGGTAAATAGATAACTTTTATACATATTCTAAAAGTGGTGCAATGTTTCAACATTTGAATACGTTTTAAACAAGAAAAATATTGAGAAGTCGCTTTTAAATAAAAGCTCTGAACAATAACCTTCCTTATTAAGCTGTTTTA